TATCGAACCTGATCCATCTTTCTTCCGAACAGAATATTTTGTCTCACCGAACCTGCGAAAAGCCACGGTTCTTGACTGGCATAGGCAATCTTGCCGTTAACCTGTGAAAATAGTATTTAAAAAAATACTAATATATATAAAATTTAGTTAATTTATAAATATTTTAATTAATTAGGAATATATATAAATTTTTAAATAAATTGATTAATTTATTTATTTTTATGGACAAAATAGTTTATATTCGATATTTTATATCTATTGAAATTTCTTAAATATTTAACATTAACTAAAGAAAAATTGTCAACGTACTTTAATGGAACCTTCTTGTAAACGCAATTCTTTCAGGATGACGTTCAACAAACTGCTCTTGCCCGCGCCGACTTGGCCGACAACAACGATTAGTTCACCGGGACGCACTTTCATGTTGATACTCTGTAAGGTGTCTTCTCGTTCATAATCCAGCCATTTAGCGTTTCCGTTTTCGATGGAAATGCTATACTCGACATTGTTCTGCTGGTGCATATCGTTTTTTTTCTGCGCGAAGTTTTCCTTCGAATTTTCCATATTATTCTCTTTTACGTCCTGTTGATTATACTCCTTTGCATTCTTGTCATCTTTTGCGTCCTCCTTATTATTTTCCTTGTTGTACTTCTTTGCTTCGATCTCAGAAGCTGTCATTTCGTCATACATCAAGAACTTCTGCAATCTTTTTATGGACACTCTCGCTTCTGCTACCTGTGTTATTCCTGAATTATCAAAAAGAACAGAATTAATAAATAAAAGAAAATAAAAATATAGAGTAGTTCATCAAAATAAGGGTATATGTGATTATTACGGTATATATATGTTTATACCATCAATTATTGGGACTCGAATTTTTAAGGCTAATAAAAGTGTATGAAGTATAAAGTCGTAAAGCATAATTGAAAAAAATACAAATAAATAGAACAATAAAAGATAAAAAAGAAAACAAATGAATTTAAAAGAAGGAAAAAGAAGAAAAAAGGAACGTAAAGAAGAAAAGAAAAAAAATAGAAAAGAAAAGTTTGAAAAAATAAAAAATAAAGAGGAAATTTAAAAATTAAGAGATAAAAAATATTACGAACGTTATCAACTTTGACGATATTATTCGTGTAATTATTGCGTTTCGGCAGTACTAATTATCCCATACCTTGCGGAAAGAGAACAGTCATAGTTGTGCGTAAGCTGTTGTAATAGGCAGTTACTACGAACACTTTCTCGGCCGTTACCTTGTAGCCGAATAGCACGTAAGCCAGCACCGTGATGAACAGCGACATCCTTGTGGTGAACATGATGAACGACATGGTGACACCTCTAATGTACGAAACCCATCGGATGACATTAACTTCCTTCCTGCAAACAAATTCTGTTATCGTCCATCATTTTTTCTTTTTCCTACCGAATTATATTTATTATTTTCTGACAAGAAACGCGTATATGGCCAGATTTGTATTGAATCTACAATTTAATATCGACAATTAAAAGGCCATTGAAATTTCAGAATTATAAACAAAATAATGCAATGTTTTATAAATCACGTTGTTCAACGTAAAATTAACAATGTAACAGTGCTTACTTTCTTGCTTTTTGTATGAGCGCGCTGAACGGATTCTCCCAGGTATACATTTTGATGGCTTGGATTCCACTTATGATTTCATTCGTCAATCGCACCCTTGCGTCGGTCCTGATGGCGGTTTTTAATCTCAGTTCTGATGATTTTTTGCCTAACCATCCTAAAAAATTCCAGGAACGAGACATAAAATGCAGTTAGTAATTATTGGTGATTTAATGAACAAAAAGTGTTAACTGTGATTCACTGAAGAAAAAATTAAGAAGATCCCATGGTCGTCTATTTTACCGATTAAATGCAATAATTTTTGTGTCACAATTCCTTCTTTTTTTATACAGATTAAAAAATTTTTTTCCAGAATTAAAGTATAAGCATTATTATGTATTTGTAAGAGGGAGTCTACCGAAAACGGAAAAAATATTTGGAATTTTTGTGAACATAATAAAGCCCAAATAAAGAATAAATTAAAAAATGATTATTAATCATAAAAAGGAAATTCCCCTTCAAAAGATTAAAAACTTACTCTACACTTAAACATCGCAATTATCTTTAATTTGGTCTGTAATTAATCTTTTAATCTTCGGAAATTTCTAACAATTTAAATTCAATTTTAGATTTGATTTTAGATTCTTAAAGCAACATTAAAGTTATTATTCTCTGGAGTAAGTTCCACATATAACAAATAAATAACAATGGCTGTAAAAATAATAACATAAATGGGCCTTATTTAATAAAAATTTATTGCTTCTAAAAAAATATAGTTATTTTTAAAACATCGATTAATTTGTTATTTTTTCATAGCTAGAAAGTTCAATAATATTATAATATATTAAATAGTTAAAAAATAGTTATTTTCGTAAATTAAAAAAATTTTTTTTAAATACACTGCAGCGTCACAAAATTTTCAGTAAGCATACGGAAACAATTTGCTAAAGAATCTAAAATTTTTTTGGATACAGATCTGAAAATAATTTTATTGGATCATTAAAATAATTATGTTAGAAACTAAAAAGTGATAAGTAATGCTGCAAAAAATAATTACATTTTTTAGCTTTGATATTTTAGCAACCAATTTGGGTTTCCAACAAAATTATTTTGATGGTCTAATAAAATTATTTTCAAATCTGCAGCCAATAAAATTATATATTTCTATTCGCGTCAATAATATTTTTAAAAAATAATTATTTTTAAAGAAATGTTTTTTAATTTTTTACTAAAGCGGAAGGATGTTCTTCGTTAGTGAAATTATTTCTAATTTAAACATTTCTGAACTTTGCGAACAAAAAACACACATATATATCACTTTTAACTCAATCGTTTGATTACTTTTATCATCAGAAACAATCAGAGCAGAGACTTTCTCACCTTGTAAAGGGATGAACATCAGCAGAAAAGCGACACCGATGACAGACGATACTCCGACGTCGATTATGTCGTACATTACGTACGTCATGATGATGGTCTCCAAAGGCCCGAGCCACAGATAATGGAGAAATATGATACTGATATCGAATCTGTTGACATCATTAGACAGCAAATTGACTGCCTGGCCGATTGTCGTCTCGCCCAGCGCGGTTTTGGTCAGCTTCAACGTCTTGCGATAGATTAGTGAACAGCAGGCCACGCGGACTTTCATGCCCATGTGCAACATACCTATCGTGTACGGATGGATAACGAACACGTTAAGAGCGGAGCATAGAATGACTCCAACGGCGTATCCGTACGCATAGGACTTGTCGACGTCCGTGGTGTTAAAGTAAAGTAACATCTGACCCAACAGTAATGGTTGCAGCACCCTGTCATATGAGAGATTTCAGAAATATTATCACTTATTTAGATAACTATTTAATATAATTATTAATTAGATCTTGAAGATTTTATAGATGAGATTGTTTGGATCAAGCTGTTGTTTCGATTGATGTAAATGCATCAGGTAAACATACTACAAAAGTTTCTACAAAAGTGGGAACTTACACATTTTAATTACGACTTTTATCAAATATATTTAAGCTGAACAAATAATGAATGCAAGTTAAATTGATTGTGAATAACTTTAGAAAACATTTAATTTTATATGTAAAAAAGTAGATGGTTTAAAAATTTATATAAAGAAACCACAATGGAAATTAAAAATAAATTTTATTAACGAATTTTAATTTGCTTTTAATTTAATAATCTTATAATTACTAAATGTAATTATAATTTCATGAATTTTTATTTTCTTTTAATTCCATAAATAAATATCATTCATTTAGTTAGATCTTTACTTTGGTTAAATATTTATTCACACACAATTCAAAAAATACTGTGAAAATCATGTTGATAGATATCATGTTGATAGATAAAAGTCGTTCGGTGGTAGATTTAATTCCGCAGAATTAAATTGCCAACTTTTTATACTAGTCAAGACACTATCAATATAAGAAATATAAAATCTTGAAAACTCTAAAAAGAGATTCTTCAGTAGAATTTCTGGGTGAGAAATGAAGGAGATTCCCAGCAAACAAGCTAACGTTCTTTATCATCATTTTGACGCCATTTTAATACTAAAGACAAAAAATGCATCAAAGCTTGATTATACCTAAGCAAGATGTCCATGACGGCCATAAAGATCCCATACAGTAAGGTTTTGAAGCCGAAACATCTGATGAGGACTTTCAACAAGCTGGGCTTTTT